AATTTTTTTCCCCTCAGGCCAGGTTTAGGAGTTCCCATTATTTGATCCAGAAATTACCAGGAATATTTTTCTTCAGGCCGGGTTTAGGAATTCCCATTATTCGATCCAGAAATGAAGAAATTACCAGGAATTTTTTCCCTCAGGCCAGGTTTAAGAATTCTCATTATTTGATCCAGAAATTAAGGAATTACCAGAAATTTTTTAAGGAATAACCAGGAATTTTTTTAGGAATTACCAGGATGTTTTTCCCTCAGGCCAGATTTAGGAATTCCCATTATTTGATCCAGAAATGAAGGAATTACCAGGAATTTTGTAAGGAATTACCAGGAATTTTGTAAGGAATTACCAGGAAACTTTTAAGGAATTACCTGGAATTTTTTAAGGAATTAACAGGAAACTTTTAAGGAATTATCTGGAATTTTTTAAGGAATTTCCTGGAATTTTTTAAGGAATTATCTGGAATTTTTTCCCCCAGGCCATCCTGCAGCTGGACAGCCCCAAAGCCGCCCGTTCCATGTACAGCTTCCTGCAGCAATATCCTTATTCCATAGGGGATCACACCCTCACCTGCTCCTTGTCCTCCCACGGAGAAATTCCTGAGGTAAAAATTCCACATTTTCCACCAAGCTGGGGTTTTTTTGGGATGGGACAACCTTGGGATGCAGAGAGCTGCGGGATGGGAATTCCCTCAGGGTTGGGATTTTCTCCCCTCAGGGTTGGGATTTTTTCCACCCAGGGTCACGATTTTCCCTCATCGTTTGGGACATTTTTCCTCAAGGACTGGATTTCCCTCTGGGTTGGAATTTTTCCCTCAGGGTTGGGATTTTTCCCTCAAGGTTTGGGATTTTTCCCTCAAGGTTTGGGATTTTTCCCTCAGGGTTTGGGATTTTCTCCTTCAAGGATGGGATTTTCCCATTCAGGTTTGGGATTTTTCCCTCAGGGTTTGGGTTTTTTTTCCCTCAAGGTTGGGATTTTCAGCCCTCAGGACTGGGATTTTTCCCTCAACGTTTGGGATTTTTCCCTCAACGTTTGGGATTTTTCCCTCAACGTTTGGGATTTTCTCCTTCAAGGATGGGATTTTCCCATTCAGGTTTGGGATTTTTCCCTCAGGACTGGGATTTTTCCCTTAGGTTTTGGGATTTTTTCCCTCCAGGATAGAATTTTCCCATTCAGGGTTGGGATTTTCCTCCCTCAGGGTTGGGATTTTTTCCTCTCAGGGTTTGGGATTTTCTCTCCTCTGGGTTGGGATTTTTTCCGCCCCAGGTCAGGATTTTCCCTCATGGTTTGGGACATTTTTCTTCAAGGACTGGATTTCCCTCCGGGTTGGAATTTTTCCCTCCGGGTTGGGATTTTTTTTCCCTCAGGGTTTGGGTTTTTTCCATCAGGATTGGGATTTTCTCCCCTCAAGGACTGGGATTTTTCCCCTCCCCTCATGGTTGGAATTTTCCATCAAGATTTGGGATTTTTTTCCCTCAGGATTTGGGAATTTTTTCCCATATTGTCGGGATTTCCCCCTCAGGTTTGGGATTTTCCCTCAGGATTGGCGTTTCCCCTCAGGGTTGGGATTTTCTCCCCTCAGGATTGGGATTTTTCCCCTTCAGGACTGGGATATTTCCCCTTATGGTTGGGATTTTTTTTCCCTCAGGGCCGGCATTTTCCATCAGGATTGGAATTTTCCCTCAGGGTTTAAGATCTTTTTCCCTCATTGTTAGGATTTTTCCTCAAATTTGGGATTTTTCCTCAAGGTTTGGGATTATTTTCCTCAAGGTTGGGATTTTTCCCTCAGGGCTGGGATTTTTCCTCAAGGTTTGGGATTATTTTCCCTCAGGGTTGGGATTTTTCCCTCAGGGTTTGGGATTTTTTCCCTCAGGATAGAATTTCCCCATTCAGGGTTGGGATTTTTCCCCTCAGGGTTTGGATTTTTTCCCTTGATGGGTTTTCCCTCAGGTTTGGCATTTTCCCATAAAGTTTGAGATTATTTTCCCACTCAGGGCTGGGATTTTTCCCTCAGGATTGGGATTTTTTCCTCAATGTTGGTATTTCTTTTCCAAGATCCCACCCCAATCTCCCTTTTCCCAGTGGGAATCCAATCCTTGTGTCCTGTCCCTCCATCCGTTGTCCCTTTTTTTAATAATCCCTGGCCCTTATCCCTAAAATCTAACAATTTTTCCCATTTTCCCTCCCTTTTTTCTCCATCTTTTTCCCTTCTTTTTCCCCTTTTCCCCCCTTTTTTCCCTCTCCAGCTCTCCTGGAGCCCCTTCAGGCCCTGCAAGGGGTTCTGAGGATTCCCTGGAATTTTCCCTTCTCCAGGTGAACATTCCCAGTTCTCCCAGCCTGGCTCCATAGGAATTCCATCCTGGCAGCTCCCATTCCCCCTTCCTTTCCCAATTCCATGACTTTGGGATCCCATTCCCAGCTGGTTCCACCTCAAGTGCCAAGGGAATCAATCCCTCCTTTCCATCAGGAAAAAATATTCCAATTGCTTTCCCATCCTAAATTCACAATAATCCCCCTTTTTCCATATTTTTTATCCTCAATTTGTGTCAGAGGAAACCTCCAAATCCTGAAGTTTTTCCTCAACTCTAAAAATCCTAACGAATAAACTCCCTTAAAAAGATGATTCCTGAAATTCCTCCTGGTGAGGGAACATCCCTCAGGGATTTGTGGGAATGCTGAAGTTCAAATCCACCGTTTTAGCTTTTCCCTGGATCTGGGAGTGAGGAATTCGGGAATTTTCGTGCTACTTTAACAGTTCCAGGTTTGATTCCTGGTATTTTCCTGGAAATGTCTGAGTTTAAAAAAAAAAAAAAAGGAAGATTCCTGGAGGGGGAAGAGGGGGAAGGAGGAATCCGGGATAAATCCTGGATTTTAGGGAGAGGGGAATGGGGTTTATAGGGAATGGTTGGATTTTAGGGATAGGAAATTATCGGATTTTTGGGATTAGGAATGGTTGGATTTTAGGGATAGGTATAAGGAATAGTTGGATTTCAGGGATAGGGAATGGGGGTTATAGGGAATGGTTGGATTTTTGGGATAAGGAATGGTTGGATTTCAGGGATAGGGAATGGGGGTTATAGGGAATGGTTGGATTTTTGGGATAAGGAATGGTTGGATTTTAGAGGTAGGGATAAGGAGTTGTTGGATTTTAGGGATAGGGAATGGGGGTTATAGGGAATGTTTGGATTTTAGGGAATCGTTGGATTTTTGGGATAGGGAATGGTTGGATTTTTGGGATTAGGAATGGTAGGATTTTAGGGATGGGGTTAAGGAGTGATTGGATTTTAAGGAGCTGATCCTTCTCCCTGTGCCCCAAATCCATCCCAAATCCATCCTGTTCCAAACCCCAGCGGCCCTGAAGGAGGGATGAACATTCAGTGGTGGAATTCTCATCCTGGGAATGGGATTGGGAACGATTCCCTGGAGTTCTGTGGGCTCGGTGCCTCCTTTGGAGTGGTGGGATGTGAGAATCCTGCCCCGATCCCTCTGGAATTGGAAAATCCTGACCTGGGGTTTTGTTTTCCAGGCTGAACCCGGGAAAAGGGAAGTGAAGAGAGAGGATGGGAGCAAAGGAAGGTACGGCCTGCGAGAATTTTTGGGAATTTTATCCATTTCTATTCCCTCTTGGAATGTTTATCCACAATTAGGGATTGCTGAGCCTCCCTCCAGCTGTGTCCTGTTGCTCCTCATTCCCAATCCATGTGCTCCAGAGTCAAAATATTTAGGATTCATTAAAAAAAGCCATGGAAAAACGTGGAGAAATCCCAATTTTTGTGGAGTTTTCCTTCCCCTGCTCAGGTCCTGGCTCCTCCTGCTGCTTTTATTCCATCCTGCATCTCTTCTATCTATCCCTGCCTCTGGAATTCCTCTTCCCAACTGCTGAATTCCCAGAAATTTTGAGGAATTTTTGTAAAAATATGGCTTTGATCCCTTTTTTCTGTGATTCCAACTCGGATTTCTGGGTGAGTTTTGTTGTTAAAACCCCAAAACTGTGTAAGGATGATCCTAAGGAATTCCGTTATGGAAAAGCTCTGTAATCCCAGATCCTGTTTCTTTCCTTGTCATTCCATGAAACTGCTGAATTTTGGGAGCATTAATTCCCAAATTGACAGGAATCTCTCCCTCACAGCCACTTCCTGATTCCAGAAAAGTGGAATTAAATTTAAAATTTAAAAAGTGACTTTTCCATGAATCCCAGCTCCTGAAACGTTGGAAAATCAACATTTTTCCCTGCTCCACACATTTTCCACATAATTGATTCCATTCCTTAGGGAGTAGAAAGCAGCTAAATTATTATTTTAATTATTAATGATTTTCTGAAGCTTTAATTAATTAAACTCCACTCCTGGGCTCTGCATTTCCCAGCCTGTGTTTCCCGTGAATCCCAGGATTTTTCCATGAATCTCAGTAGAAAACAAACTGAGCACAGCCAGAAATGTGGAATTGATAGGAAAAATCCCTTTGGATTTTTTTGGGCATCCTTCGGAGGATCCCAAATCCCACTCTCCTGGACAATCCTGATTTTTTTCCAGGTTTTGGAGTAGAAATTCCCTGCTGGAATCCAGCCATCCCTAATCCCAGCACTTCCCAAGATCATCCTGTGGGATTCTTTCCTTCGGGGAAGAGTCTCTGGAATTCCCTGGAAAACTCCATCCCGTGGCGCCTCTGGCTGTGTTATCCCAGGGGGGAAAACAGGGATTTTAAACCCAAACCATAAACCTGATCCCAAATCCAATCCCAAATCCAAACCTGCTCTCTCGGGATTGGGAACTGCAGACAGAGCAAAGCTCCTCTAATTCCCTTATCCCGGAGCTTCCTTTTGGTTGGGTATTCCCGATTTTCCCTCAGTGGGATGGAAATTTTCCAAGGCCTGAGGTCTCCGAAATGTGAATTATTTTCCCACAGAATTCCCAACCTCATTCCCTGATGCTCCAGGAAAACTCCCACCGGTGGCATCCGAAGTTTTCTGTGAATTCTGGAATTCTCCCCCGCCATGGTTTGATTTTTCTTTCTTTTAAATGCTTTTAGCTCTGGCTTGAAAAAAATTCCGGAGGTATTGGGAACGGTGCAAAAAACAGCTGGAAATCCATCGGGAGAGGCCAGGAAAGGCCAAATTCCCACCCCAAATGTCCCAGAGGAGATTCCAGCGGGACAACTGGAGATTCCCGAGCCTCAGCCAGGAGGAGCAGCGAGGGAATCACCCGCAGGGATGGACGTGGAGGGATTGGATCCTGGAATTCCTGTGGATCCTGCTGGCAGCAAATCGCCCGGAGCGAGGTCGGAGGAGAAGGCGGCGCCGCTTTGCGGAGCGGGGACGGACGAAGCTCGGGATGAGCCGGAGCTGGAGATCCAAAAGGAGGATGAGGAACCCTCTGCTCCCACCACGGAACCTCTGGAATCATCCAGCAAGGCGATGGCGGCAGCCGGAGGAACACCGGGAGCCGTCCCTGGAACGTCCCCGAGCTCGGAGGAGGTCCCCGCGGTGTCACCCGCTGTCACCCAGCCCAGCACGGAGCCGGCCGCTCTGGAAAAAACTCCCGTTCCCGAGGCTGGGAAAAGCAGCCACGAAACGTCCACGGAGAGGAAAGCTGTCCCAAAAACTGTGGATGCTCCAGGGAAAAAATTGGATGTGGCTGGAGCAGAGAGAGAGGCGACGGCGGAGGAATCCGTGCTCAAAACCGGGGAAAATCCAGGGAAGATTTGGGGCAAGGCTGGGACAGAGCTGGAGAAAACACCTGGAAAAACAGCACCCAAGGGTGGGGAAAACTCCGGGAATGCCGTTGGTGAGATCCATGTGGGGAGTTTGGTTAAAATCCCACAAAATAAAGGGGTGGGAGCTGCAAAATCCGACGAAAGCCGCGCGGCAGCTCCGGTAAATCCCGCTGCATCCCTGAAGGAATCTTGCATTGGGAAAACCCTTTTGAAGGCAGTGGTGTCCGTCCCGGACATCCTGAAGCAGAGAATTCCCGTCAGGATCACTGAGCCTTCCCTGGGAAGAGTCGGGGAGCAGAAAATCCCCCCCAAAGCGGCGCTGGAGAAGAAAATCCCACCCAAAACCACGGCTCAGCCGGGAGCTGGGAACAGCCAGTGGAAAGGGAACGGAAATTGCGGAGTGGATGCACAGGGAGATGGTGGGAAGAGCTCATCCCAGCAGGAAAAAGATTCCCAGCTGGAATCTCGGGCGACTTCAAAGCGGAGCCAGCAGGGAGAGAGCGGAACAGCCGGAACGAGGGAAGATCCCAGCGGGAATCAGGTGAGGAGGGCAGGAATGCCCTGGTGTTCCCTCCCACTCTGCTTTTCTGGGATCATCCCTTTTCCATAAATCCCGGGGTCACCAGAGGTGCTGCTGGGCAACCCGTTCCTTCTAGCCGCACCACAAGGGTGGAACGGGTTGGAAAATCTTAGGGAAGTCGTTTCAGAAATGAATCCAAACTGAATTCCTTGGAGCAGTTCCAAGTGAGAGTAAATTCCGCGTCCTCTGGGGAGCTGGGATTTGCTTTTCCAAGCCCTGCACAGATGGAAAAGAGGCTCCTGAGCCAGGTGTCACCTGTTGGTGGCAAATCCCCGGAGCCACAGGGACATCCCAGAGCAGCTCCTTGATCCGAGCAAAGCTGTGCTCCGTGAGGATTGGGATTTCCTGGGATTCCATGGGATTTTTGTCCCATTTTGCAGGCTCCTGGCGGGAGTGGTGCTGCAGCTGGGAAAAGTGGTGCCAGCAGCGCTGGAAAACAGAAGGAGGTAAGGATGGAAAACCGTGGAATTCAAAGGATGGAGTGTGTGGAAAAGAGGATTTTTGACATTCCAGGGGGTGGGATTGGATGGGATTTAAGGTCTTTTCCGACCCAAATCATTCCAGGATTCCACGACATTCCTGCTCTTAGGAATCTTTTCCCCTCTTCCCAAAATGGGATCACCAAATTCCTGCCCTTTTTCCATCTGGTGTCCGTGGATCCCGTGGGCTCCAAGGTGCTGGAATCTCTTTGGATCCATTCCCTTTGGATCTCTCAGTCCCTATTTCCGGGCTCATGGAGCTGGGACCTCCAGGAAGCCCCAGCTGGGATCAAATCCCATAAATCCCAGTTTCCCAGCTTGTGTTAAATATCCATGAAAATGTGAGGGTAGGCTGGAATATTTTGGCAGAAAAAGTAACAAAACTTGGGAATTATCAATGGAGGAGATCAGAGGCATCATTTGGGGTGGGGCACTTGTTCCTTTGGACCCAGAACTTTGAATTGGCAGGAATTTTATCCCTTGAACTTTATCCACTGAATTTTATCAATTGGATTTCATCCACTGAATTTTATCCACTGAATTTTTCCCACTGAATTTTATCCATTGGCCTTTATCCACTGAACTTTATCTGTTGAATTTTATCCACTCCACAGGAATTTTGTCCGTTGACCTTTATCCCACTGGATTTTATCCATTATTTTTATCTGCTGAATTTTTCCACTGATTTTTTCCCACTCAATTTTGTCCACTGAATTTTATCCATTGGCCTTTATCCACTGAACTTTATCCGTTGAATTTTATCCATTGGCCTTTATCCACTGAACTTTATCCATTGAATTTTATCCACTGAATTTTATCCATTGACCTTTATCCCACTGGATTTTATCCGTTGGTTTTTATCTGCTGAATTTCATCCACTGAATTTTACCCGTGGGATTTTATCCATGGAATTTTATCCCCTCTTGATCCACTGCGATTTTTTCCAAAGGCCTTTGGCTTCCTGAACAAAACCTGAGTTAATTTAAATTAATTACTCAGCACGGTGATGCAATTTTTTTTTCACCCTGCGGTTACATTTGGGGTTATTTTTTGGATGTTCCCGCTGGAGATGACACTTAAATATTCCATTCCCAGGAGGAAGAGCTCTTCCCGTTCAACCTGGACGAGTTCGTCACGGTGGACGAGGTGCTGGAGGAAGCCGAGTCTCCGGTGATGCTGCGGCGGAACCCCCCGAGGGGGAAGAGAAAAGAAGCTCCCAAATCCAACCCTTCGGAGCCGGCGTCCAAGAAGAGGAAAGGGAAGAGTTGCGGAGCCGAAGGTGAGCTGTCCTTTGTCACCTTGGATGAGATCGGGGAGGAGGAGGACGCCCCGGTGCCGCTGCCGGGCGTCGACCCCCAGGGCCTGGTGGTGGTGGATGAGGTGGTGGAAGAGGAGGAGCTGTCGGAAGCGGTGAAGGACCCGCAGGCGCTGCTGACGCTGGATGAGATCTCGGAGCAGGAGGAGCCGGGCTCCCACAGGAACGGGCCCCGGGTGGAATTTGAGGAGCGGGATCTGAAGGCCGAGCCCTTGGTGACCGTGGATGAGATCGGGGAGGTGGAGGAGCTGCCCCTCAACGAGCCCGCGGAGCTGAGCGCCGCCGAAGAGGGGAAAGCCAATCCCGGGGATTGCGCGGCCTCCCAGGTGCCCGATGATCCCAACGCCTTGGTGACCGTGGATGAGATCCAGGAGGACAACGAGGACAATCCTCTGGTGACTCTGGATGAGGTTAACGAGGATGAGGATGATTTCCTGGCCGACTTCAATCACCTGAAAGAGGAACTAAACTTCGTTACAGTCGACGAAGTTGGCGACGAGGAAGAAGAAAACGCTTTCCCAGGGAAGAACCCGCCTGAGGATGAAGATGATGAAGATATTGTTGCTGTTGCAGGACCAGAAGAAATGGGAATTCTAGGAGATACAAATCCAGAGGATGAAATGGCTGAAATCTCCAAGCCAAAAGGTGAGGAACATCAAGGCCAGCTCGGACGAGGCTTGGAACCAGCTGGGCTGGTGGAAGATGTCCCTGTCCATGTCCTTTAGGTGCCTCCCAACCCAAACCACTCCATGGTTCCATTCCATCATGCCATGATTCTGTTCCGTGATTCCGTTCCATCGCTCCATGCCTCTGTCCCGTGATGCCATGACTCCATCCCAACATGCGTTTCTGTCTCCAGCAGCTCAGGTGGGATCAGAAGATGTGGAACCAAAGCCTCAGCAGAAGAAAACGACTTTGCCAGGTGTCCCCAAGACGCAGAGCACTCCCAAAGGTAAATCCAAAGGCATGCCCTGAAATGCTCCAGGTTTTCCTGGCTGGAAGATTCTTTCCTGCCCGTTTGCAAACTCCTCCTGTGCCTCACAACCTCAGTGAACCTCAAAGTCAGGGCCCAGAATCCATGATTTTTCTTGGCTCCTCCAAATCCATGTTTAACTAGTTGGTTAAACTTGGAAGCCTCTCATGGAAAGTTTTTTTTTTCTGGGAATTTCCAAATCCAGGTGGAATTATGGATTATTAGTGAGGTGCAGTGTGGTGCCTCCTTAGGGTTCCCATGCTGTGGTGAGTTTTATTCCCAACATTTGGTGTCTGGAAAGGAGGGAATTGCAATGGGGGTGTAGGGATATAGTGAATTCCATGGGGTCAGGAATTATTCCACTTTTCCATGGGGTCAGTTCTTCAGGAACTGCTCCAACAGGGATCACTTTTCCATGGGGTCAGTCCTTCAGGAACTGCTCCAACAGGGATCACTTTTCCATGGGGTCAGTCCTTCAGGAACTTCCTGCATTTCCATGGGGTCAGTCCTTCAGGAACTGCTCCAACACGGGTCACTTTTCCATGGAGTCTTCCCTTCAGGAACTGCTCCAATGTGTCTCACTCTTCCATGGGGTCAGTCCTTCAGGAACTGCTCCAAAATGAGTCACTTTTCCATGGAGTCAGTCTTTTCAGGAATTGTTCCAACAACTTCCATGGGGTCAATCCTTCAGGAATTGTTCCACCTCCCATGGGGTCAATCTTTCAGGAATTGTTCCAGGTTCCGTGGGGTCAATCCTTCAGGAATTGTTCCAACAACTTCCATGGGGTCAATCCTTCAGGAATTGTTCCACCTCCCATGGAGTCAGTCTTTCAGGAATTGTTCCAGGTTCCATGGGGTCAATCCTTCAGGAATTGTTCCAACTTCCATGGGATCAATCTTTCAGGAATTGTTCCAGGTTCCATGGGGTCAATCCTTCAGGAATTGTTCCAACTTCCATGGGGTCAATCCTTCAGGAACAGGCTGCTCCAACATAGATCACTTTTCCATGGGATCAGTTCTTCAGGAACTGCTCCAACGTGGGTCACTTTTCCCTGGGATTAATTCTTCAGGAAGGTGGGTCACACTTCCATGGGGTCAGTCCTTCAGGAACTGCTCAAACTTCCATGGGGTTATTCCTTCAGGAACTGCTCTGACTTCCATGGGTTTGGTTGCTTTATTCCCAGAAAATGCTGTGTTTATTGGAAATGGAGATGACCTGTGGATTGAAGTGGGGCAGGGACCATCTTGAGTGAAAAACCTGACTTTTTGGAATGTTAAAAAACTGTAATTTCCCCCTGAGGAATCACAAATTCCCCAGCTTTGGCCAAAGGAAGGTGAGGTTGGAATATTTCTTGGAGCTGTGTGTGGTGACTGTGGTGTATCCGCAGCTCTGGACATCCTGGTCCCAAAGGCCGGATTCTTCTGCCAGATCTGCTCCCTCTTCTACGCCGACGAGCCCTCCATGATCAACCACTGCAGGACCCCCCTGCACCGGCAGAACATGGAGGTACCGCCCAGAAAAACGGGAATATCCCCCCAAATCCTTGGATTCGGGGCTGCCCGGAATTCCCCAGGAGGTCACGTTTGATGGGGTTTGGGAATACAGTGGGAACATGGAATATTTTTATTCCATGCCCAGATGGTGGGGAGTCCTGATCCCTGAGATTGGACCACGTTCCCCTCAGGAGCTTCCCGTGTTGAATTTGGAGGTTTTTATGGGACAAATCCCACCTTGACCGTGGGAGGAGCTGATTGAACCTGGCCCAGTTGTTCCTGGCCCAGGTTTTAGGGGATAATCCTGGAATATCCCTGCAGCAGCATCTCTTCTCCCTTCTCCACAGAAATTCATGGCCAAGCAGCAGGACGGCGGCGGGGAGGAGCCGAGCTCCAGGTGATGGAGCTTCCCGGGAGCGACGCTTCAGGGCCAGTCAGTTCTGTGTGTTTGGAATTCCGTTGGCATTCGGGGTCGGGGAGGAGCATCCACGGTGTAAAAAATCGGAGCTGGGAACGGACTCAACCCAAAGCAGGAGAGGGTTGGATTTGCATCTCCGATCATCCGACGTCGGAAGGACTGTGCCAGGTGTCTCCAGAAAATAAAATGTTCTTACTGTATAGTTACCCCAGGGCTTGAGTTTGGGGTGATTCCTTGGGGTTTGGTGACTCTGGAGGACACAGGAGAGCCAGGGGAGAATCAAGGGAAGGGGCTGGAGCTCCAGGAGCAGCTGAGGGAGCTGGGAAAGGGGCTCAGCCTGGAGAAAAAAGGGAATTTCTGGCTGTGCAGAACTCCCTGGATTCTTGGAGCCAGGAGCTGGGATCTGGTCCCAGGGAACAGGGACAGGAGGAGGGGGAACGGCCCCAAGCTGTGCCAGGTTGGATTTTGGGAAAATTCCTTGCTGGAAAGGGCTGTCCAGCCCTGGCAGGGGTGGAGTCCCCAGGGATGGATTTACCAGCTCTGTGCTTGTGGCACTTGGGGACACGGCCGGCGGTGGCCTGGGCAGTGCTGGCCTTGATGGTCTCAGAGGGTTGTCCCTGCCCTGCACCCAACCTGCCCCCAGCCCCCTCAGTTCCACGGTGACATTCCAAACTTGGGAACCCCCCTGGAGCGCTCAACCCCTCCTGGTGCTCATTAGCAGCCAAGAGAGCCGCAGGAATTCAGGAATTCCTTTAATCCCTTTGCCCAGGGCTTGGAGCACCCACTGCCTTTTTGGGGGGCACATGGGAACCATTTCTCCCCATGGACTTCAGCCAGGTGGGTGGGAAGGGGAAACTCGGATTAACTCCCTGGCGATGCTGAACTTCTCTGAGGTGGGATCGGTTTCGTCTGCGGAAGGCCCTGGAGGTCAGGATGGGCAGGGCTGGAGGGCGCTGACCCTGGCACCGGTGGTGTGGGCAGGGATGTGCCTCCTGCTCTGTTGCCCTGGGCACAGCTCCTGCTCAAGATTCCCACTGGGACATCTCTTGGTCGATGAGGTCTTCCCACTGGGACAGTTTTGTGTCCCTTGACATTCCCGTGACGCTGCTCTGGGTGTCTCTTGGTGTCCTCTTGGCACGGGTCTTGGTCAGTGAACTCTTCCATTTGGGACATCTCGTGGTTGATGGATTCTTCCATTTGGGACATCTCCTGGTGGATTAAATCTTCCCATTGGGACAGAGTTTTGTATCCCTTGACTTTGCCTTGGTGTTGTTCATGGTCTCTCTTGGCTTTGCCTTGACACGGCTCTTGGTTGATGGATCCTTCCACTTGGGACATCTCATGGCTGCTGGATCCTTCCATTTGGGACATCTCATGGCTGCTGGATCCTTCCATTTGGGAGATCTTATGGTTGATGGATCCTTCCATTTGGGACATCTCATGG